ATGAGGTTCGTGTATTCAGGCTTTAAGCTCAAAAGCTACTATATTCCCACAATAGGACATGCAAGGCAAATTTCGATGTGGCTGAAGTTCATCACGAAATGTTCAATGCGGCAGAAGCGCATAATATACCTGACCTATACACGCAGAATCAAATTAATGCATTTTCGTCGAGAAAAAAGTTGTCCTCCATGTGATGCGATAACCGCATCCAAAATTCGATGCGATAAAGACGCATCACATACAGGACAGATTTTTTCGCGAGAAAAATGCATCGAATTGAGGCACTGAATTTTCTGTGTGTAGGAGAAAAACACACTTTTTATTTGGTGATGATATTTCCTACTACACTCTTAGAAAAAAGTGAGCGAAATCCGAGAAGGGGAGCGAAACTGGAGTTACCGGCTTTTCTCCCTAAAAATGAGGAAGTGCAATCGATAGCTACTCCTTTATAAGAGTAAAATCCATATCTTTTTTTAACGCGAAACGAAGGAGGGAGAGTACTTTTCAAACTAATAGAACAATTTAGTTGTTGTTCTCAGGAAAGAGAAATGTGAGCGGCATTGCTTCCTCGTTTTTAGGTAGTAAAACCGCTAACTCCAGTTTAGCTCATTCGCTCATTCCTTCTAAGAATGTAGGGTTTCCAATTCTCCCATCTGATGACAGGATCCGTGTACAGATGAACGGTAAGGTAGGTAGTACCGTACCTATAAAAAAAAGAAGGCAAAAGTGTGGCAGCACGAACTCTCAAATTGTACGCAGCCATTCTTGACTTCGCTTTGGAGCCCTGCGACCACCGTGGATGATGCCTTGCAGACGGTCGCAGTCAGTGTGCATCGGCCTTAACCTTAACCCAGATACCAGATACCAGATACCATTGCTGACCTAAAAGAAAACATCGTCACTGCAATCCAAAACATTCCGACGGAAATGTGCCAGCGAGTGATTAACAAATTCTCAGGTCGAATAGATGTCATCGAAGAAGAAGGACGCTGGATTGAAGATATCATTCACTATTAATCAACGGTTAATTACAGGTTCCCGTACAATCAGTGAATTGTTTTCATAATTGCCTTTGATTATTCGGCCGTATATAATTGATATCGTTCGGTTTTTGTGAATAAAAAGCCATCTCGTCTGACTTCCTCTTGTATTAATATTTTTTATACGTATCGTTTTTTTTTTGGACCAGCCTATGTCCCCTCCGTCGATCCACAGGCAGACTGGTGGATATGAAACCGTTTCAGAAGGACCACCCCCCCCCCCCCCCTCCACCGTCCGATTCCGTTCCAAAGTATTTACTTTTACCCCTGGCTTCTTTCTCTTCTATCAGCTTTCGATGTTCTCAGGAACACCTTATGCGCCATTAGACTCAATATTTGAGGCTACACAATTTTCCAGTACTGAAGGCTTTTGAAAGGCGCAAGCACTGCTGATATGAATCCAGAAGTCGGTCGCCATCGTCTCTGCATGTTCTCTGCGTTTCATTCCCCCTTTTCGAGCGCAATTGACAGGAGATCCCAAAAAACCGCTCCCCATCCACCGCTATCTCATCCGACAGACCAACACACTTACTCTGTACTTCGTATTTGTGCGAGATCATCGAATAGCTCTCTTATCTAAAGATAAAGTGGCTTTACTGTCTGAACTTTGAAGCGTTCCCAGTCTGTTCTTCCCTGGGTCTCCTCGTCGCTCGTCGTCATGCAAGGGGGCCAAGATAATTTCGCCTACCAGGCCGAGGTTAGTGAGTTAACCTGTCCCAAGGGACTTCTCTCCGGCTAATTTCAAGGGTTTTTTTTTAAGGCAAAGTGGTATGGAAAAGAATCTGTTCAATAGATATAATGACTGAGTTTGTGAATAAATGTATTTTACATTTCAGGTTAAAACATCTTAGCTACGGAAATCAAAGATTTAGCTCAGATGAATCACCACTTTGGCTGCCACGATTATATTTATGACGTGGCGTTGTGCAACTGTTGACCACCACCGGTTACCGTCATGGCGCAATGTGTAAATTCTGAATTCCTTATAGTTGTAACAATACCTGATGACAGTTAGTGGGGGTAGTATATTGTATGACGATGGTTTTTTTTGTCTCAAGAAGCTCCTTTACACCTATTGGGGAAATTGCACATCAATAAAGCTGAATACCGTGATCCGCGTATCCCACTCCCGTGCGATAGCTTGTGGGTTACGCAATGATGGTAGTTCCATTTCTCCTGCTGTGTGCTGATGGTGAGTCAATGGGATAGCATGCCGGTTATATAATCATGCTGTTGGAGAGTTTCTTTTTCTTTGACTTCATATTTTAAATTTGAAAGTACTTTTGAGGAAATAAGGTTTCCTTTTTTCCCATCAGGCAAATTTTTATTTTGAATTTTTAATGGATGAATCCAAGCTTGCATTTAAAGGCCAAAATTAAAATTTGGCACTGATAATTTTCAAAATCACATCAATTTTGCAAATATTAAGCTTGATGTAACCTAAATCTAGTCCATTCGCGGTGAGGCTTTAAGAAAATATTTTTAAAAGAAAGGCCTTCTCTTCTCTAATTCAATTGCCTCATTCCACTAAGACGAAGAATGCAGCACTGAGAACCAAGGGATTTGGGTTGATTTCAAAGCCGCAGTTCAGTTGCAAGTGAACTATGGTCCTAAGATGGTCCCAGTTTGGTTGCAGTTGCAGTCGACTGGAACTACGACTGAACTTTGAACGGACTGAGATTTTGAAATCATTCTCCAGTTCCTGTTTGACTGTAGTTGGACTATGGTAAGACTGCAGTTGCCACTCGCTTCAGTTTCTCTTCTGCTCAATTGCAGTCTGTTGTAGTCCGACTTCTCGTTGGAACATTCTTAACTTCCTTGTACGTTATTGATATAAATGAATTGAAACGGTTCGACGCCAGCCACAGATCGGTGTCATATTTACGATTCAGTTCGTCATTGGGCATGTGTTCCGCTGCATGCGTCGCCGCTTTCGGACTTAATCGCATGCGGGGTGCTTCACAGTCACGGTTTGCGAATGGCAAATGCAAGTGATGTCCTCGTTCCACTGTGACATGACATAATATATATATATATATATATATATATATATTATCTTGCTCTTCTCATCGAGACAGACGCCTCAGGGTAGGTCTGAATTCTCCAGGCGCCACGAGGAAAGAGAGGCTTCAGACATAGTAATTTGTTGGAATCATAGTCACACTCTGGTCATATTAAAGCCTGACTATGATTGGACGGGCAGTCAACAAAGACTCTCGCAACTGCAATCTGACTAGGGTTCAAATGGCACATTTCGACAATTCTCGAACGAAAAACCTAACTGTAACTATAACTGAACTGGAACTGAAACTGAACTGAAACTGAACTGAAACTGAACTGAAACTGAACTGAAACTGAACTGAAACTGAACTGAAACTGAACTGAAACTGAACTGAAACTGAACTGAAACTGAACTGAAACTGAACTGAAACTGAACTGCAATCGAACTGCCCTTCTGAAATCAACATTAGCCTCTTTAGGTAATGATCCCTCACAACATTTACTTTTAAATTACAATAATTTTAGCAAGGCATGCTGGAAGATAGGTGAACTGTTTCTTTTTTCTGTTAAATAGGAATCAACTCGTGCACACGCAATTCAGGAGTATCATTGCTGCTATTTTGGCTGGAAAGATTCATGAATTTGTGTTCACTATGCACGAATCGAAAGTTTTCCCATCCAGTCAGAAAATAATGATGCATCTTACTCCTTTTACCCCATTCTCCTTTCACCTGTCTTCTCACAATTAAATGGCGAAATGAAAGCGTCTTCCTAAATTAGAAATGGAGATAATATAATAAATGACAGAGTGTCATTCATCCGACGCAACAAGTCCATTCTCCTTTTCATTGCCAGAATGGGTCGATCCAGGTGGAGATGGGCACCATGAGAAGGCCTGCAGGCAAAGGGATCTTGTCTAATTCCAACGAAATTGCCTTATCCTTCGAAAATGTGGATGCTTGGTCCGTACCAAAAAAATCCTCCGGGAATAGACTGCTCAATCTCTGCCGGAAGACAGAAGCTGATAATGCGAAACACATCCTCCGAAATGGTATTGCACTTCGTTGTGCAACTTAATCCTCCAGAGAGAATTAAATGTTCGATTTGTATTTGAATGCATGATTTCATGACTCGATAGTAACTGGAATCGTGCGTCCGGGGGAAATGTTGGCCATCATGGGAGCCAGTGGGGCCGGAAAGACTACATTGATGAACGTGATGACGTCGAGGAACTTGGGGAAACTCAGGGTCTCCGGGAAACTCATGGTGAATGGGAAAACTATCAAAAGGAGCGCATTAACGAGTATGTCCGCCTATGTCCAACAAGAAGATCTATTCATCGGTACCCTCACAGTCAGGGAACACCTACGATTCCAGGTATGAAACATGGAATCTCCGGAAATATAAGAAGTCGAATGAAATTAATTCAATTCAGATTTATCATTCTTTTCCTTACAGGCTCGATTGAGAATGGAGAAAGATATCAAATATCGGCAGCGTATGGATCGTGTGGAAGAGGTCATCATGGAGGTGAGGGTGAAAATGTTATCCTTAATATTCTCTCGTGAACCATCTGTAACGGGTTGAAGAATATAAATTAAATTTGATATTACAGTTGGGATTGAGTAAATGTTCAGACACAATAATTGGGATCCCTGGACGGATCAAGGGCATTTCTGGCGGAGAAATGAAGCGACTCTCTATCGCCTCCGAGGTCCACATTCCATTATCTCATATCTATTTCTGTAATTCTTCGCCGTAATTTTCCTTGAACAGGAAAGCATTCCTATTGACAATCAGGTCCTGACTGATCCACCGTTGCTCTTCTGCGACGAGCCGACCTCAGGCCTGGACTCGTTCATGGCCCAGCAAGTTGTGGCTCTCATGAAGTCCCTGGCAGAGAAGGGGAAGACCGTCCTTTCAACCATCCATCAACCTTCATCTGAAGTCTACACCATGTTCGATCGTGTTCTCCTCATGGCAGAGGGGAGGGTTGCGTACCTGGGAGACGCTGATCAAGGCATCAACTTCTTTCGACAGTATGGGTCACTGAAATATTCATGAGAACACGCGATGCAATGGAGGGCCTGGATCGCACCGATCGCTTCTGAGAATCATTACGAGGTCATGCTTTAATGGTTTGCACAATGACAGTGTTTGCACTGTCGCGCAGAATGTCTAATGAGGTATCAATATGCTTCACTTCAGTTATTTGCTGCATTTTTGTGAGAGAACCAAAAGTAGAATCAGAAAAAGGAGCACCATGTTATGCTGAAGCTGCGTATTTTGGCACAATGAAATAGCTATGGGCCTTTTATAAAATATCGAAGTGAATTGTCTGCAGAAGTGAATTTATTACCACATCGGGCCACAACTTCTGCTAGCAGGTGTTCTACGTTATTTCTGACTTTGATGAATTTCAATTGCGTGGGCTATATCCTAGAACCTCGTTCCCATACTGTCGTATATTCGTCTTTTATCACATTTTGTTATTTTGGGATTGAACTGAACAAGAAACAAAGGACTATTTCATGAGCAGTAGGATGAAGCCGTGGTTAGAGAGAGTTTATCTTTTTCTTCCTTATTCAAACAGAACGATGACGAAGCGGAGGTACGAATTATTCAAGTTTTATTAACGATTCAGCCAACGTTTTCGTTAATTCCTAAAGACGCTAAGCGCAGGATTTCTTTGTAATCGAATCAAAATAATCACGTAAATGTCGGAGAGGATTCAAAGAACAGCATAACGTCAATGAAAACCACCATATAAAGTGAAGTAATTTCTTTTTTTTTGTTGAAATGTATATATCTTGAATATTTGTTAGGATGGGCCACGAATGCCCGTTGAACTACAACCCGGCGGACTTCTACATCCACACCTTGGCCATCGTTCCGGGAGCGGAGGAAGAATGTCGAGAAAGGGTGGCCCAGATCTGCGACGCATTCAGAGACTCAGAAGAGGGGAAGGCTCTGGCGAAGGAAGTCGGCTTATCCAGCGACGAATTCACTAAGGCCATCCCAAACGACCTGACGGATGATAACCTGAATAACATTGAGAAGACTTCCAGGTACAAGGCGTCATGGTTTGCTCAATTTCTCGCCGTCTTATCCCGATCCTGGACGGCAAACCTTCGAGAACCCATGGTCGTTAAAATTCGATTCATCCAAACCCTGGTTAGTATCTCGCAATTCCATCTTTACCGTGATCACCACGCGAAGGTTAGGCTTAAGGCTATCTCTTTTTTCTCATCCTGCACTCTACTTCCCCAATTTTTTTAAATCTTCAATTGCGCTTCTGGAAAGCATTTCCCCCTCGCAAACACCACCATTACGAAACGTTTAGAATTGAAAATGGAACTGGTTCATACTCGTCGCAATTTTTAAATTTACATTGTGAAAGGATATGATTTTCTGCATTGTGGTTCCGTCTCATTCTTCAGAGAAAGCATAATCCTCACCAACGATTATAGGAAGTCCATTTTATTGTAAATTATTTTTCGCGCGAAAACCATTATGGACATTTTCTTACTTAATTTTAGCTCCTAATGGCTATTCAAGTCTATTTAACTCTCTTCTCTAATTGTTCAGGCAATTTCTCAAGTTGCATCTCGGAACGCGCTTGATTTTCGCTACCTTCGTTGTCTATAGCCCGATTCTTCAAGTTTTCGTTATTCCATCCTGGTCTTGAGTACTTGTACTTTGTGTATTTAATTCAAGTATTTTCTTATAGATGGTGGGCATTCTGTTGGGGATCATATACCTGCAGCAGGATCCCTCATTAGAGGGTGTGATGAACATCAATGGCGCTCTTTTCCTCTTCCTTGTGAATATGCATTTCCAGAATTCCTTTTCAGTCATCAACGTGAGTTTTCCTGTGAAGGAAGACCAACAATTCCTTGCGAATTTTATGCAAATTCAATTCAATTTAATCATCTTCTTTTTCAGTATTTATTTCATAGTGTACCCTTTTCTTGATTGGTATGTGCAGGTGTTCTGCGAAGAGCTACCTGTCTTCTTACGGGAACACACGAGTGGGATGTACAGAACAGACGTGTATTTCGTGAGCAAGACATTAGCCGAGTTTCCGTTCTATGTGATCTTTCCTGTCATCTACGTGGCTGTTCCCTATTACATGATCGGCTTCAACGCATCAGTGGATCGCTTCTTCATCTGCGTCCTCATCATGGTCATCGTTGCTAATGTCGCTTGCTCCTATGGTGGGTTAGCGGATTCCGAGAAATTTCATTTCCGAGCATGGACACCGAGTCTTGATTATTGCTTTTTCAGGGTACATGGTATCGTGCATCGCAAGCACTGTCACCATGGCTTTGTCTCTTGCTCCACCTATGACAATTCCGCTCATGCTCTTTGGCGGATTTTTCCTCAACAATGAGTAAGTGCTTTTTTTTTCAAATCTCAAAGTTTAACAAATACTATATAAACATGCTCTGATATGAAACGTCTTACACATTCACTTACGTCGATAACGTATATGTCCGTCAATTTTCATCTGAAAAAGTTCCATAAGTAAAGTATAGCCCTCAATGGTTGGGGAGAGGATCAGCAGAAGGCAAACAGGAGGCAGAGACTGACCTCTCACCTCCTATGACGCCGGTCAGAGTCACTTACACCGGAATGCATTAATTGTAATTATGTCCTCTGGTTTCAATATTGAACTCAAGCCAGTGAGGTGCCTTACCATTATACCAATAAAATTAATGAAAAATTGTTGAGAAACCAGCCGTCAAACACCAAAGAAAGATCGATGAGTTTTTGAAGTCTCAAAAGGTGTTATGTGTAAGCATTTCTGAAAAGGAAACCATCCAATTTGAACTACTTCACTTATATTTTATTTTCATAGCTCTGTCCCAGTTTACTTCATATGGCTGAAATACCTCTCATGGTTCTACTATGGGAACGAGGCCATCATGATCAATCAATGGAAAGATTATGAATGGAAAGATGCCGGGAATTCCACCTTACTATATGGCAATGACGTCCTCCAAAACTTCAACTTCGAAAAGGTATGCTCATTTTAACACAAAGTTACCCCTTGGCTTATGGTAACTTGGAGTTTAATTAACGAGTCCCATACATCCTTCATAGGACAATCTTTCAAAGGACATTTTCCTGCTGTTGGCCTTGATGGCGGGATTGCGCATCATCGCCTTCCTGGCCCTCTACATCCGAGCGTCTCGGCGAAAATGATATTTGAAAGGAGTCTCTTTCCGCAAGAGATTTCCCTCATCGCTATTGTTCTTCCATCGAACGTGCTTTTCTATTCTGAGAGAGAATATGATTTCGGCATTAATCATCGTGCGATATATTGATTTCTTGTTTTCATTAATATTGACGGCCATATTTGTTTCAACATTTTGTTTCATTTCACAGGAATCTGTTGACAGATTCGCAGATCCTTCTTCGCAATTCCTTGTCCTTACATTTGCAGTACATTCACAAGATGTGAAAGCACTGATGTGAAATACAGGGTGACCCACAAGTAATAGGGCAGTCAGTGGTACAATCAGCAGCCACTACAATTTTTTAATTATTATTTTATAATTTTATAATTTATTATAATTTTTTGGCTATTAATTGATTTTTATTTTAATTTCGGAAGCACTAATCATAAAGGTTGCAAGTATGGAGCATCGTAATCACCAACGGTACACAAACGAAGAGCGTGCCTTTATTTTGAAGACATTTTACAAACCAAAAAAAAAAAAACAAGAGTGAGACGTGCCGCCGTTTTAGAGAGCAGTTTGACCGGTCGATAAAACGAGACACAGTGGCCAACTCTCATCAAGCGTTTTAAAGCTACAGGTTCAGTTAATGACTTGGCAAGACCTGGAAGACCAAGGTCCGTCTGCACAGAAGAAAACAAACGGGTTGTTGACGCTTCTTTCATCCAAAGTTCAAAAAAGTCCACCAGGCGAGCGCAACAAGATCTTAACATTTCAAGAGCATCCATTCAGAGGATGCTTCACGAGCTCCCTTTCTAAAAAAATCCACACCCTTTCCACACGTGTGGAACGCATGTGGTCCACCTTTGTGGATTTTGCTGGGTGTGGAATTTCCTCGCGAGGAATATCCGCCTGTGTACATTGGGCTGGGTGTGGATGTGGAATTTTCTTATGAGGAATAGGGTAAACACTCCAGTTTTTGGCCACGCAGATACGACTCCCATAGGAAGTGGACACCCTGTGCGCATACCAGTGCAAAGTATCCTGTGACAATGGAATTGACGATGCTCAGGAGAGTAGACAACGTCTAACCGACAACTATGAAGAAATTAAGCTCTAGTGGAATCAGTGCCCGAAACCATGGCTCGATAAGAAAAGAGTGGAGAAAGAAAATTCCACATAAACTGGGAGAATTCACTGGGTAAATTGGATCACATAATTCGAGTTTGTGGACGCAAACCAAAACCAACTGTCCCCTGATCGACAGAAAAAATAAGAAAGGGAAAGGAGAAATCAGTGGAAGAGTAGAGGCACAGTTGACTATAGATGGCGAATGACCTATGCCCATTCCCTGAAATCCCCTGGCCTATGACTCAGAGGCTAACCCTAGTCCCACAGAGTGGAAGCAGGCCATCCAGCGGACCGACTTGCGAAACACATTATTACCCATGAGAAGAAAATTTCTCTCAACAACCTCGTTCGAGAGCATGTCTCCTTGTTCAGGTCTTCACACAGGGCCTGTCCACAGCCAATTACTTGGCTTGCATGACGTGAAACGATACTGTTCAACCAAAACAGAAAGTCATTATGAGGGTACGATCATACTAGTTCTTCCCAATTTAAGTAATATTTTAAGCATAAACAAGCATATACAGCATGCTCGTTTAGGCTTCATGGCTCAACAAGTTCAGGCCTACTGCATTTGCACATTTATGGAGAATAATAATTTATATATTCATTCAAGAATGTTCCCATTTTAAAGGTTTCTTCCGATCAGCGAGCAATTTTCATTCCAGCTTCCGACAAAGCTTAGTTTTTTATCTCTAAAGCAGAATCTTTGATCTCCCAGTTCCTAGGAAGAGCAGGAGGATCTGTTTGACCCCCGTTCCTTCCTTCCTCCAGCGTTGCTTTGTCATCATCCACTGCGCCTTAATCACGCTTGCGTGACCAGAGGTCCAACGAGAGCTTCCCCTCGTTTCGATCTCAGCAAGAAGCAATGACCGTAGTCATTATCCTGTACTACTGCAACATCTTTGGCAATCTTCCTTACAACCCTCTTTATTGGCTTCCATGCATGCGCTGAATTAGTAGAGATCTGAAAAACCAAAAATTCGTGGACGCAGCTCATCGCATTTAGCTGTACCGTCTTTTCACGGAAGGTGACATGACTTTGAAACATTTTCATGAAGTTAATTGTTTCTTCAGTTCGTGAGAATTGATGTGTAAATTTTCGCCTTTACCCGTGAAAAATTCACGACCTCCTAATTGAGGCAAATCGCCTACCGTCCCACTCATTCAAATGAGACTCACCGCTGAAACTTAGAACACCCATATTTCGGATCGCTATATCAGGTCCGTTCCATCACTTCCCCCACCTCACCAAAAATTTATTTAAATACCTACATTAAGGAATTCCGTCCCTGATACTCAAAGTAGTCAAACCATATGCATTTCCAACTCCAAAGTACCATATGTAAGTGTAGGATGTTTCCCGTAATTGGAGACCCAATTCCCCTTCATGAAAGTTTCAATTGAATTCTGTCCCGTAACATTCTAATGAAAGACAGCGTTCCCCTATCAAAAGGCCACACTCTGGAAAAATAAAATAGGGGATGTGTTCCGTCATCAGGGAACCCCCAATTGCCTGTATCCAAGTTTTCAGCCAGTTCCGCCCAGTAGCATTCAAGTGAGACACATCGTTCGAATATCTAAGGCTGGGTGCTAGATGGGAATAGGATGATTTTGAGCTCCATATGAGATGTGGAGCGACTCCATAAGACCGATCCGAGTCACGGTTCGGGCGAGCACCTCGGTGGGCAATGCAATTTTCCGGTCGGGTGCAGCGGGATAATTCATCTGAGACCTTCAGTTCTACAGTAGAACTTCGCGGTCTGTACGGGCTGCGGGCAGACTCGGATAGGTCGAAAAGATTCGATGGCTCCGGCGCGTAAAGATCCGTCCGTGGTCGAGTTTTAGGTCGGACACGGGCAATGATTCAAATCGCGCCGATAAATGATGGGCAATGATGGGAAATCATGGGCAATGATTCAAATCGCACCACACTCTTAGAAAATTCCGAGCGTTTGGGGAGTAAAAAGTGGGCACACTGTGAGCTTTTCGAATTTACTCTCTTATTACTCACCAATTCGCCTAGTCTCATTATAGGAATATATAAACACGGACACTTCATCATTTGTTATCCACATATTCAAGACATATTCATGGAGTCCAGGCCATAAGCAAGCTTATATTGAGAACCCTTTTGGAACGCGTTTGGTTTTATCCGCATAGGAGATCTAGAATGCGGAGAGAGTGCCCGTGAACAATTAACTATCTTCAACCCCTTCCCGCCACAAAATTCATCCTCCTCGTATGCATCCCTGAGAGTATCAACGGCAACAAAGTTTGGCGTGCTTCTTCCTCTCTCAACATAGAATAGCTCCAGCAAATTTGAAGATCCATCTCCCCGGGGTAGTAGAGAACACTGAATCTAGCTTTTGGAAGATGCGCATTTCATTATTTTCTTCCCCCCCCCCCCGCCCTCCTCCTGGATAGTCACCTCTGGATGGTTTTCGGAGGAAAGAGACCAACCATAGAAAGATATTGACTGGTATATGAGGAAAAGTTGCCTTTCTATAGTTTTCGATGCGCCATTTCGCCATGAAAATTGAGATTAGCTGTTTTTCAATTAGGCTCAGATTGCCGACTCCGGTACCGTCCCTCAGTGTTGCCGGATATCGGGCCGAAATTATGCCAGATTCACGACTACTTCAGCCTTCGTATCGTCTGTCACTTCTGTTTTTTTTTTAATGTGGGACATTTTTGTCCTGAGTTCATGAGATGAGCTGAGAATGAAGCGGTGGTCAGCAGTGATTGATAGATATGGTGGGACATGGAGATATCTTATCTGGACATCCCTGAATTAACAGGATGGCGCGCGCCATGGACTCCATACTTCCTAGAGGCATTCTCTCCTCAGACCTATTCGAGATGGTTCGAGAAACTCCAGGTAGGCCTGACGTTTCACGTCTCTCCGAAATGATTCATGAAAGGCAAAACAGGCCTCAAATCGACCTAATGTTACATATCCTCTCTGAAATGGTTCTTGAACGTATGAATAGGCCTGCGACTGGCCTAACGTTTCACATCCTCAACGAGATGTCTCGAAGACCGCGGATTCATCCACATAGGTCTTATTGGCCCCTCAAGT